TTTTTTTTTTTTTTTTTTTTTTTTTTTTTTTTTTTTTTTTTTTTGTAAAGCAAATGGATATAGATGTAGATTCTATTACTAAAAATAAAAAAATGATTAGGAATTATAACATATTAGAAAAGAATTATCATTTTATGATTAAAGAATATGAAAATATATCTAATATAAAAGTAAATAATAATATTGCTAATGTTAGAATAATCAAAAACTTATTAATTTTAAATAATTCAATAGATAATGTGAAAAAGCAATGTTTACTAAATATATTTGAAAAATTGGATAGCGTTTTAATCCTAATACTAAAAAAAAATAATGCTAATTTGATATTAAAATTATTATCCATTTTTTACATAAAACTTTTTAAATATGCAAATTTTAATATTAATGATCATTACAACAGTATATTTGAAATAATCTCAAATAAAAATTTAATTGGATGCTCTGTTGAAGTAAAAGATTTACATGAAAATTTTTTTAAAAATACAATTCTTCTAGTATCATTAATTTTATATGATATATATTCAAAAATTACTTCTCATCTATCTACTATAATTGACTACTCAAGTAATAATTTTTTTTCCTTACAAGTTGCATATAATTTAAAAAATATATATTTTTATTACAATAACTATTTTTTATTTTTTATTATTTACATAATATGAAAATGTAAAATTTGTTATTCTTTTGATTTTTATATATTCATATATTATTACTTGTGTAATAATATAAACTTATTAATTGATTTTTATGTAATTTTATAATTACCCATTTTAAAATTAGAAAACATAAAAATTAAAATATATTTTTTTTTTTTTTTTTTTTATCAGAAAAAATAAAGAAATGTGAAAATTTAGAATTAAAATACTTTTATTTTATATGTCTGAATAAAATAATAAAATCTTCAAATATAATAAATTCTACAAATACTGAAAAAATATTTAAGATTTTGAAAAAAGCAGTTAATGAAAAGGAAGAAATAATAAAAAATATAACTATTAAATGTCTTACAAATTTTTTTATTTTAAAACCAGAATATTCTCTTTTAGAATATGGATTTTTCTTAAATTTTATAGATAATAACTTAAGTTTAAATAATAATTTTAGCTTAACTAATCTTAAATATGTTATTAACTTCGTAAGTGTTATATTTTGTAATTGTGCGAATGTAAAATATAGTAAAAATAATGATTATATAGATAAAAAGAATTCAAAAGAAAACATTTACTCAACCTCATCAAAATTAAAAAGAAAATCATCTTCTGAAAAAAATAAATTGGGTTATATAAAAGAAAATACAAAAATTGAAGAAGAAAAAAAAAAAAATATTTTTTCTGATTTTTTAAAAATAGCAACAGAAGAAATTGTTTCAAAGATAACCAAAATAAAATTAGAAGAAAATAATGTTGAAAATTATATTAAACTGGAAAATGTTGAAGGATTTTTATTTCTTGATGATAATGAATTTAATAAAAAAATACTAAAAAAGAAAAAAAATTTTCTATCTTTTTATAATTTTAAGTCTTTTCTAAATTATTTTAAGAATGTAATAATAAATTTATCTTCAGATATTAATCATGACTATATGAATTTAAAAAAGTTATATTTTTTGAAAAATCTAGAAAAATACAATTATTATAAAGACAAATTTTTTTTTGAAAAGGATTTTTGTGCATATTTGAGTAAAAAAAATCATAAGAAATATGAATTTTTAAAAGAACCAAAAAGTATAGAGAATTTTAATTTTTTATTAGGAGTAGATTATAAATTAATGAAAGAGAAAAAAATAAATTATGATGAAATAAGTATGTCTATAGAAGAAAAAATTTTATTTAAAATTTACAATTCTTTAATTCGTAATACCTTATTAAAAATTATTTTTTTTGAATCATTTAAAAATTTATTATTTTTTTCAAAAAAATTTACAGGGAAATCAATAATAAAAATAATAAAATTTTTTGTAAACTTTTTAGAAGTTTTATGTTCTAATTGTGCAAAAAAGAAAAATTTGAAAACTCATTTATATACTAATAATATTTCAAATAGTTTTGAAATCAAATATTGTATATTTTACTTTATAAATATTATAAAAGAATTAATTAAGAAAAAAGAAAAAGATACATATACAATAATCAAAGAGAAAAAAAATAAATCAAAAGAAAATGAAAAAAATATATTTGACGAGAGTGAAAATACTGATCATTATGAAAAAAATAGTCAATATTATGAAGAAAATGAAGAGGATAGTGTTAGTAAAAATAGGAATATTTGCAATAATAATAATCAGTATGAAATAGAAAAAAAAGACGAAATTATATTTAATGACACGGATAAATTTAAAAAAAATTATAATTCTAAAAATTTTGATTATGATAATACAAAAAAATTACAAGAAACTACTACTAATAATAAAGAAAGCAAAGAAAAAGAAGTTGAAAGATTGAACTTTGATAGAAGAGAAATAAAACAAGTGATCAAAAAAGGAAATATAAATAATCATTTATTAAATACGAGTAACAAAGAGAATCAGTTAATAAATGAAAATAATAATAGTAGTATAAACACTATTGATAAAATTATCAACGAAAATACTAAAATAGAAATAAATGAAAATAAGAATGAAATGGAAAAAACAAAGAAAAATTATGTTAAAAATTTTAAAGAAACAAAAATCAGAAAGTATTTAGAAAGGGAAATTAAAAACTATCTAACTTTAAACAATGATACTAATTTAGATATTAATGAAAAAAAAAAGAATGATATTATTTTAAAAGCACTAATAAGCTTATATAACAAAATAATAGTAAATAATAATATAAAAAAAGAAAAATATGAAAAATATGAAAAATTTTTAAAAACTATAATAAATAACATGAATGGTATGCATGTAGATATTGAATTAGTAAAGGATGTTATAAATTTATTTTTGAAAATTTTTTTAAGGTTCCCTTCATATATATATAATATAATAACATTATTAGTAAATTATATAACAATAATTAATGCCAATTTTATGACATCTTTAACTTTAAATACATTTGATGATATAGAAAAACAAGTGAGTATATTAATAATTAGTTCAGTTTCATTGAAACAAATATTATATTATTCTTCTAGTTATTATAAGATGTATCACCTAAACAATTTAATATTTTGCATTTTTGATATATGTAAATTGTTTCTCTCAAAAGTTCAAACACATCCATTAAAAACTATTAATGAGTTAAGAAGAATCATTTCCTTTTTATTAATTCATTCTATTCTTTATTCTGTTATGTATGAATTAAAAAGTAATAATATGTTTTATAGTTTAAATGATTTGGATCATCTAAAAACAACTAAAAAAAATATTGGTTCTTCTAATAATTTGAACTATTATAACTTGAAGCAATACTTTAACATCCATGAAGTATTATACAATAACCCTCTTCTTAAATTAATAAAAGATATACTAAAAGAAATGATAAATGAGATTGAAGAAGAAAAAATGAAAATCTTTATTCACTCATATGAAGAACAAATAAGTAAGAAAAAAATGAATTCCTGTAATTTTTTTGTTGTTGATAATTTATTTATTTTAGTTTACATATTAAAGAATGTTTATGTTATTTTATCATCAGAAATGTTGACGTTTCTTTTTTTTGATTATATTTATAAAATTGCTAATACTTTATTTAATTTTTTCTACAAATTAAATGAAATAAATTGTAAATATAATAAGGAAAATAATGAAGTAAGAAAAAATTATGTAAATGATAAAGAAAAGGAAAAAAATAATTACATAAATAGTTGTTCAAAAAAAGAAAATAAGAATTTTTACTTTTATGAGTATGGTTTTACTCAAATATGTAGGTTAATAAGCATCGATAATATATTACTAGTTTTCTTTATATATTTATTAAAAATTTTTACTAGAATTATGAACTTTATAAAATTGAAACTAAGAAAAAGAAAAAAGAACAAAGACTTTTACTTTGTTGATCATATTGATGTTACTAGTATTAACAATAATGATATTAAAAGTGATGAAAATTATAATAGTAATAATATAAATAATGATTATAAAATTTTATTAAAAAATGAAGAAAAAGATGAATTTCGTTTAATATTTGAGTCATTAATCAATGTACAGAAAAACAAGGAAACTTATTTTGATTTTTTTTTAACATTTTTAATAAATTTTACAAAAAATAAAAATAATTTTTATATTTTGGTTGTAAATTCTATAGTAAGAAGAAAAGTAATATATAAGGCAAAAGATAAATATATTGCGAATAGCAATAAAAAGAAAAAATATATATTAGAATATATAAATGAATTAGATATATTAAATATTTTAACAAATAATTATGAAAAATATCATGAATTAATTCTAATAAATTTTATATGTTTGTTTGAATTATATTTAAAAAAAAAAAAATATTATAATAAAATAATGAAAAATATAAGTGTATGTATTTTAAATTTAGATGAACAAAAAAATGAATTAATAATGTATTTATTAATACTAGAAAACTTTTTAAAGAAAAATTTTCATAAAAAAAGAAAAGAAAAATTATTTAAAAGTATACAACCTCTATTTAATTTATTAAATGATCATTTTAATTATTCTTTTTGCTTAATTCATTTTTTAATTATTAAGATACTAACTCTTTTTATAAGTAATAATGAAAATGTTAACTCATTTATATTTAGTTATGCTATGAAATTATATGAAAAATATTCAATGCAAATGAATAATGAAAGTTATTTATATGTATTGTTTTCTATTTTAATAAAAAATTTATATTCATCATACTATAAAATAAATTATAAAAATTCTTCAAAAAAAAAAATCAGAAATATAAATTTAAAGAAATCTATAAATCTGTCCTATTTAAGAAGTTTTATTAAAAATTCAACAAATTCATCTTCATTATTTAATAAATTGGATGTATGTTCTAACACTTTTTCATTTAAACAAAACAGCCTTAATTATGTTTTTTTTAATAAAGATATTTGTTCTTCAAATAATTCAGAAAATTTTAAATTACAACAAGTCTCAAATATTTCAGAAATGAAACAAGTGAAAAATAAAAAAAAGACAAGTATGAATAGTTCTAACAATAGTTACACTGAAATAAAAGAAGATAAAATTGTAAGCAAAAGCAAAATGAAATCTAAAGAAGAAAATGATAAAAATATAGAAAAAAGTAATAAAGATTATATTAAAAGTTATTCATATACAGAAACGAATATAAAAAAAAAGAATTTACATAAATTTTTTGATATTTACCTAGATATGTTAAAGGTAATTCCTCATAATAATAATACATTTATAACAGTTTTAAAAAATTTCATTTCTATAATAAAAAGAGTAAGTACTTCTATTGGCTTATTTAGAATAAAAAATTGCTTAGAAGTTATATTAGCATATTTATTAAAAAATGAAAATATTAATGTATTTAATTTTAAAATTGAAAAAGGGAAATATGTTATAAAATTGTTTAATAATTTATTATATATTTTGAAAAAGAAGAAAAAAAAAGAAAAAGAAAAAGAAAAAAAAAAGAAAAAAAAAAAGAAAAAAGTATTTAAAGAAATAGTAAATAAAATACTTTTTATATTTGAAATATTATTAAATTCCTTTGAAAAGAAAATAAATAGTAATCTATTTAAAACAATTAATCTATTATTTGATGTGATAAAAATGAATAAATTAAAAAAATATATTTATAAATTATCTGTGATAATACAAAAAAATATATTTTTTTATAAAAATATAAAAGTGTTAAAGGAATCATTAAAATGTGTATATAACCTTTTAAAAAAAAAAATTGTAATACCATTGCATGAAAATTTTGATTATTATATTTTAGTTATTCATAATTTTGTTAATACAAAAAAGTTAGATATACATTTTATAAATTTATTAAAATTAAGGATATCTGTTTATTCTTTTTTTAATGTAAATCAATGGTCTAAACTTTTTGAAAATATACTGAACATAAAAAGTGCATTCATATATGATATTATAAAAGGTAAAACGAAAGATAAATTTTCTAAATATTCTTGTAAGAATAATAATAATTATTGTGAAGATAATAACATGAAAGAAAATAATCTATTAAAAAATGATAGATCATTATATGAAAAAGATAGCACTTTTTTTTATACTTCTTTATTTAATGAAAATTTTGGTTTTAATATTCATATAAATTTAAAGGAGGAACATTTTTTAAACCCTTTCATGGAAAATTATAAATCAAAATATTTTTTTAATGTTTTTACAAAAGGAAAAAATGATTTTACTTTTTCAATAGATACGAAATATTTAGTTATGAAATTACTATTATATTTTTTGAAAAGAATTAGTTCATCATTTTTAATATTTATTCATAATGATTCTTATTACGTGAATTATTCAAAGAAACTTTTAAAAGATTCAATTTTAAAAAAAGAAGAAAAAAATAGTGAAAAACACGATTTTTTAGAGGAAAATGTGGTAAAAAAAGAAGATAATATAAAAATGAAAAAGATAAAAAAATTATCAAAATACAATAAAATGAAGGATAAAAATATGAGCTATGGTAATAATTGTTATGATATGAATGAAAACAATCAATATATTAATGGGAGTAAAAATGATTATAATAATTATACAATGAATGGTAAATATTCTGATATTAATAATGATAATTACGAAAGTAAAAACAAGATTAGTAGTTCCAATGAGGAAATGTTAAACAAATTTTATTATATTGAAAGAATGTTCAATCAGAGAAGAAATTCCAATGATAATACAATAATAGATGAAACGAATTTTAATGATATAAATTTGGAAGATATTGTTGAAAATTTTTCTTTATATGATAATTTTGAATGTTTATTAAAAGTAATTTTAAACAATATAAATTATGGCATAAAATATTATAAATTATCAAATATGGCTATAAAAGTATTGATTGTTTACTTAAGTATTTTTAAATTTTCTAAAATTATAATTGATGAATATTCTGATAATAATGAAATTAAATTACTCATGAATTATGAAATTAATATTTTTACTTCGATTAAAATGTATTATGAATCATTTAATTTTATGAATTTAAATTATGAAAACGAGGAGTATAAATATTTAGATAACTCTAATAATAGAAACAAAAGTAACAACGACCTACAATTTTCTCATTTATTTTTATATCCTCTAATGAATGTATATAATTTATTTTTATTTTTAAATGATATAAAATTATGTAATTCTCATAATAAATTTGTGGAATACTTTTTTCATTTTGCAATAAAAGATAATAATAATAACAAATCTCTTGAATTTAATAGTTTCACAAAAAAACAAATAAATAATATTAATAAAAGAGAAGAAAAGAAAGAGGTTCTTAACTCTTTTTTATTTTTTTCTGAATGTGATTCAAGCTTATTTTTTCTTTTTAAATATAAATCTTTCTGTTACTATATAATACATAATGATAATGTTCTAAATAATTTATCAATTTTTGACATTAAATCAATTGTGAAAAATGTTAATTATATTATATATGACACTATAATTTTATACATATGGAGTTTTAGAGATAATAATAGTGAAGAATTAAATAAAATTGTTCATAAGTTTTTTACATGTGTGAATGAAAAGGCAAGATGTTTATCCATTTTTTATTTTTCTGCTTTTCCTATTTTTATTAAGTTCCTAAATTATGTAAAAAATAGTGTTATTTTAAATAAGAATAATTATTTATTCTTTAAAATATTTATTTATTTTTTATGCAGTCATATAAAAGAATATAATAACATATTAAAACAAGAAACAAAAGAAGTATACTTTACATTCATTTTTAATTATTTAGTTTTAGTAGAATTAACTGAGGAATTCATAGATGATACAGAAGAAAAAGAAATAATAAAGAAAACAAATAAAATTAAAGACTATATAAATTTAGATGATCAAAATGATAGTAATAATAATAATAATAATAATACGGATAATAGTTGTATAAATAATAATAATAATGAGGATAGTAATAATAACAATAATAATAATACGAATAGTATTAATAATAATAATAATGAGGATAGTATTAATAATAATAATAATAATAATACGGATAATATTATTAATAATAATAATCATAATATGGATAATAGTAGTATTAATAATAAAAATGAGGATAGTAGTAGTATTAATAATAATAATAATGAGGATAGTAGTAGTATTAATAATAATAATATAGATAATAGTACTATTAATAATAATATAGATAATAGTACTATTAATAATAATAATACGGATAATAGTTGTATAAATAATAATAATGAGGATAGTAGTAGTATTAATAATAATAACAATAATATATATGACGAAAATAAAAAAACAGAAAGAACATTTTTAAATAAAATTTTAGAATACATTTTAAAATATTTGGTAACTTTTATAACTGAAAATAATATATTAAGTGTTTTAAACCTAATAGAAAAGTTACATAATCAAATAATCGAAATAAAAAATAAGAAAATCCATGTAAATACATTATGTAAATTATACACTTTAAATATATTTGTAATTAATAAATTTTTAAAAGAAAATAATAATTATGAAAAAGAACAAGAAATCATAAATATATGGAACTCATTTTTAAATTCTTATATTATTTTAGAAAAAATAAATGATTTAGAGTTGAAAGGAAATATAAAATTATTATTACAACATACATTTTTAAAAAAAATGAACTTATTAAAAAATGAAAAGTTATCAAGTAGTTTGTTAAAGTACTTTTTTCAGAATTCTTCTATAAATGATATAAATAACTATTTAATTAAAATGAAAAGTTATGAAGAAGAAATTATAAAAATTATAAATGAAAAGGACTTACATAAATTGAAAATATTTTACATAGAAATAATTATTTTTATTAATTTTATTAATACTTGTGATATATTAAATGAAAAAAGCAAATTGTATTATAATCAAAAAATAATACAAATATTTATAAATTTCTCAAATAAAATGAAAATATTGTACTTTTACTATAATAATAATAATAATAATAATAATAGTGACTATAGTAATAACACAAAAAAGCAAATAATTATTTCTTCTATAAATATTATTCAAAATATATTTACTATAATTAAAAATAAAGAAGAATCACTTGTCTTTTATTTTATTTATAATTTAATTAAAAATAACATTTTGCCTGTAATAATAACAAATTCTTCTATAGAAAATGTAGATTATAATGAGTTAATACCTTTTAATTCTTATATGGAAGAAATAATTTGTTATTCTCTAAAAATATTAAATGTATTTTTTGAAGTATTTATTAGTAATACTATATTAATAAAAAAAATATTAATACCTTTTATAAATTTTATATACAGAATTGTAACTTTGTGTGAAAAAAAAAAAATAATGATAACAAAAAGTTTCTTAATTTATCAAGTAGATCAAACAAAAACAATTAGTTCTTTTAATTTCCAAAACGAAGATATATATTTACATAATAACTTCATTAATACTAATTCAGTTAATATTAATTGTATGACTATATATTTTAAAGAAGTAATTAAAATTTTTAAAAATATTGCTTTTAAGAATTCACAATTATTTAAACAGATTATTAACGAAGTAAATACAGAAGAAAAATTATTGATTTATAATTTAATGAAAGAATTAATTAATATGAACAAAAATAATGAAACACAAAATAAGAAGAATGATGAAAAATTAGATTTTAGCTTTCTAAATTAAAACAAAAATAAAAAAAAAAAAAAAAAATTTTAAATAATAATAATTCTTTGATATATTTTTTGTAATGTAACTATTTTTATAATATTATATCAACAATATAACTATTATGTTGTGAACATAATTGTAATTTTATACTTAACTAATTTTATGTATACATTTTTTAAATTTTATTTATTTTTATATTAGTGAAATTTAATTTCCTTTTTTTTTTTTTTTTTTTGTCTCATTTTTACTTTTACTATTTTTCCTTTATTTGTTTATATTTGTTTATATTTTTTATTATTTTATCATTTTTAATTCTATAGAAGTTATATATATTTTTCGTTATTTATATATATAAATTTCTATCACTTTTACATTATGCTTTTATAAAATTTGAAAGCATCATATTATACCAAAATTACATATTTGAAGTAAACAAAATTTTCAATCACTTTTTAGGTCTCATTCATATTATACTATTATATTTCATAAATGTTATTTATAATTTTACAAGAGCAGTTAAGAATACCTCTAAAATTTAGTAAATATAAAAAAAATTGAAAGATCTGTTATAAGTTTATTTGTTTTTAATTTTGAATTAAGTTTAAAAATTTTTAAAATAGTAAAAAATTTCTTTACTTTTTATAATCCAGAAAAATAGCTAAAAAAGTTTTATTGTATGTATAAAATAATAAATCATATATATATTTTTTTCTTTTTAATAAGAAAAAAAAAAATGTATAAGCATATACTTATTATAAAATGAGATAATTGGTTATATAGATATATTATGTTTTAACATTTATTGTGTAATTTCCTAATTAAAACTTTAAAATTTATATTTTTTTTTTTTTTTTGAATTTCTAGAATCTTTAAATTTATTTATTTAAGTATATCAATTTTTAATTCTGAATGTTATCCTATCTTTATCCTATATATATGGTTAAAATATTTTTTAAACATATTTTAGATAAAAATATATAAAGAAAATGTTTAATTTTTTTTTTACATAATTTACTATAATTTTTTTCTTATTTAAACAAAAAAAAAAAAAAAAAAGGTACCTACAATTTATATATATATATATATATGAATATTAAATTTTTTTTTGTTTTTTTTACTTTTTTATCAAAAATCAAAATGAAAGAATTTTCTCATATAATTGGTTTAGGAGATATATTTCAAAATGAAAAAAAATGTTGGGTTCTACTAGCAAGTAAGTCACCAAGAAGGATGGAATTAATGAGATTAATTGGAATAAAAAATTTATATATATGTGATTCTAAATTTGAAGAAAATTTAGATAAAAACAAATTTTCCTCTGCTGAAGATTATGTAAAAGAGAATGCATTGAACAAGGGTTTAAAGGTTGTTGAGCACATTTGGTTTAATAATAAAAATAATGAGAATACTAAAGAAGATATTAATCATACTGAAAAGGATGAAACAAATAAAGATGAAAGATCTATAAATGAAGTTAACAAAATTGAAATAAATAAATATGAAGTGAAAAACCTTTACAGTAATTATAACCCAATACCATATATAATTATTTCGTGTGATACTATTGTTACTCTAAAAAATGAAATAATAGAAAAACCATTAAATAAGAAACATGCTTATGAAATATTGAAAAAATTATCTTCTAATGTTCATACTGTTTATACAGCTGTTTGTATATTTGTATATAAAACTAAAACACCCATTACATTTGTTGAAAAAACAGATGTACACTTTGATCAATTACTTGAAAAAGATATTTTAGAATATATAAATTTAAAAGAACCATATGATAAAGCAGGTGCTTATTCTATTCAAGGTATTGGTAGCCAATTTATAAAAAAAATTGATGGATGTTATTACAATGTTATGGGATTACCTATTCATAAATTATCAAAAACATTAACAAAACTACACTTAGAAAAAAATTTTTCTTAATTACTTAAAAAAAAAATATACATATCTGTGTTTATAGGTGCTATTACTAATAATACTATTTTATCTATATTTTGTTTTATTGAATATGTATTTTCATTTTTTTTTTTTTATAACTATTTTTTTTTTTTTTTTTTATAATCTTTTACTATTTTTTAAAAATTTTTGTTTTAATTATAAAAATAAAAAACATATTTTCATTTTCATATATATGTTTCTGTCTTTAAAAATATTGTCACTAAAAAACTAACCTCATATAAAATAATTTTATCCTATATTTTTATAGAAATATATGAAGAGAAAATAATATAAACAGATATAAAAAGAAATAATAATAAAATATAAATTTAAAATATTAACCCAATCATATAAAAAAAAGGAATATCCTTTTATGTAATTTAATACGCACTACCTTGCAGACAGAACAAAAAAAAAAAAAAAAAAATACGAAGAATACATATAAGGAAATACTAAGTTTTGTCATACAACTATTTTTATTAATAAAAATAAAAAGGAAACAAAAAAATAAATACAAAAAATTATAAATTATTTGTAAATATATATTGTTTACTTATAAAAATGTTTTTTATTTGTAAAAAAAGCTNTATTTTAATATGTTTTATAATGTATTCCAACTCTTTGCTATTTTAAAAATGTAATTAATTCTAAAAATATATATATATATATATTTTTTTTTTTAAATATAGTTATAAAGAGATTATTNTTTATAGAAAGGATTCGTAAACATAAGTTTTTTATCTAACCTATTANATTTATGTTGTTATGCCTATATAAACAATCAAATTAGTTACATTTTCTNTAATTTTGCTAAAACTATTTCTTTTTTTTTACATATATATATATATCTGTCTTTTTATTTAAACAATATAATATTTATTATTATTATACCTATAATTAAATTTTTATTTTATATATAAAAAAAAATATAAACAAATGTTTATATTAGAATATGAACCATTGTATATATTTTTTTTTCTTTCTGTCTTTTTTTTTTTTGAATCTTTTTTTTATTTATATATTCCATTAAATATTCATTATATTTTATTTCTCTAATTTTATAAAAATTACTTCATAAAAAAAATTTATTTGAATATACAACTAAAAAAAAAAAAAAGAGAAAAAAGAAGCCTTAAATGTTGTGTAGATACAGCAGAATTATCCTTAAAATTTTATCATAATATAATGTTGAGTTTATATTGTTTATTTGAAAAGTATAATAAATCTGTTGTTATAAATATAACATAAAAATAATTATATAAATATATATTTTTCCATTTAATAGAAAAAAAAACATCTTGTCATTTATAAATTATTCTGTTGGTATATTAAATGTAATTATGTTTGTAAATTATAATTAAAACATAAAAGGAAAAATGAGTATGTTAATTAATGCTTTTTCTTCAAAAAAAGAAAAAAAGAAAGAAAAATTAAAAATAGATAATAATGTAATCCCCGTAACTGATAATAATTTTGTCACTTTGAGTGAATATATGTTAGATAATGAAAACGTAAGAAAAAATAAAGATAGTGATAAAGAAAAAGAAATACTTTCCAAAATACAAAATATATTGAAAAAAAATATAAAAAGAGGGAAATTAAATAAGGTTATAAAAAGAACTTTTTCTCTAATAAAAAAAAAAAAGGTAAGCGAATTAATCTTAAAAAAAGAAAAAAAAATTCCAAAAAATGATGATTCTCTAAACTCTAAACAAATAGTTAAAAAAAATGAAGAATGCAATCTACAAAATAATGATAAAGAAGAGGAAGGAGAAAATAATAAAAAATTAATGGAAAAATTAAAAAAAAAAAAAAAAATTCCAGATAATGATCAGAACCTAAATAAGGAAAGTGTAAAGGGTAACTTAAGTTGTTCTAATAATAATAATGAATCAAATACATACAGCAATCCTTCAGACTTAGAATTTAAAGATGATTTTAAAAGTGCTAATGTTAATTTGCAAAAAAATAGTAATAATAAAAAAAAAATTAGTTCAAGTAATATAGGAGATCTTTTTAATGAAAAAACGTATAAAATGAGAGAAATAAAAAAATATAATAAATTTTTTGTTGATGACAAAAAAAATTTGTTAGAATTATTAAAAAATGATAATAAAAAACATAAAAGTGAAAAGCTAAGATTCAAAAAAGAAGATATAAGTGAAAAAGAAAATAGATCTAATTCTGAAGAAAATTCATTCATTAATAAAAAATACAAGAAATTTAACAAATTAAAAGTTAGTTCAATGGAAGAAACACAACAAAAAAATTCAAGTCATCCATTTAATATACATAAATCTACATTTAAAAAGAATGAGAACGATAATAAAAATATTATATGGAAGAATAAAAAATATGACAATAAATTAAAAAAATACAAAGATAAATCAGACAGTAGTAATACGTTAAAAAAAAATAATAATAACAAGATGGAGGTAAAGAATATAGAATATTTACAAAAATTATTTTACAAAGAGGAAAAAGGAAGTTATGTTAGTGATAAAGAAAATTTTTCAGATGGCGGTAAAAAATTTGAGTATTCAAGTAACGACTTCTCTGAGGATGATACCGATTCAGATGACAATATATCAAGTAAAAATATAATAGATCTGAATATTTTTAAAAATAAGTTAAAAATTTTTAATAACTTAATGGAAAGTATTGAACCATCAAGAAGTTACAATATAGATATAAGCCATCCTTTATATAATTTTTTATGTAAAAATGAAAACTCGTATTTAAGTTCTAATTGGCATGATAGAATAAATTTTGCTTTTCGTAATATATGGGGACTAAAAGATTATATATATGATGAAAAGACTGAGGGTGAAAGAGAAAAAGAGTTTTATAATGAATTAGAGTCATTCCATATGTCAAGCAAAATAGGTGCATGTGGATTAATATATTCTTTATTTTTAAAAGATGAAGAACATAATAATTTTATTAACTATTTCAAAAAATGCTTTGTTAAATTATCAAAAGAAAATTACCCTCATATTTATAAAATATATAAACCCAAATTTGATGATGATTTAGTATTTTTATTTGATAGCCTTGTTTTTACAGTCATATTAGGAAGTGAAGAAAACAATATAGATTATAATACAGCAAGAAAAATATACAGTAATGATTTGAAAGGAAGAAATCTACTATGTGACTGTATATATAATTTAAAAGAAAATTCCAGATTTTCTCTTCCTATAGCTAGCCAAATTGATTTTATGGGGTTACGGGTAATTTCAGAACCTTTGATGCCTTTAAACGAAGAAGAAATTCCAATTGATGTTATTAAAGATATATTTAAAAATACTAATATTAATGATTATATTAGTGAAGAAGATAAATCTTTTATATATGGTAATGATGGTATGGATTATGATTATGACAACAATGATATTAAAAATGATTGTAATAATGAAGATAAAAGGACAAAAAAAGTGAGCAAATTAAAAAAAAAAAAAGAGGAAGATTTAAAAAAGAGAAAAGAAAAAATATTTTATGAAAGATTAATGCTAGAGATAGAAAATTATGATCTGACATTATATGATCAGCTAAAAGAAATGAGTATCTATGCAAATTTTAATTGTTGTATTTTACCTTTTGGTTTATCAAACTATTTTGAATCTAAAATATATAAAAAAAGAAACAGTGTAAAAATTTTTAGATCAATTATAGACAATTTATTTATTATAAGAGGAACAGAAGAAATATTGCCTCCATTTCTTTTTAATTTTAAAAAAGAAAATTTTATCACACGATTAAGATATGAATTCATAAAATATTATTATAAGTATCCTTTGTATAACACTACTTTAGCAATTAATATAAAATATAAAGAACTTGAAGAGAATAAAAATAATTTAGATATCCTGAAAGAAGCTAGTAAGGAATCTATAAATAATATTGAAAATTATGTTATTCCTAAAATTATAAATCTAACTACAAATTTTAATGATAGTTATGATATAACAGAAGCTTATCATTCACATGGAATTAATATGTGTAATTTAGGCAAATTACTAAATAAAAATAAATCACCTGAATTTCTTTCAGAAATTATATGTAGAGAAATTATTTGTCGAACATTAAAATGTATTTATTATGAACATATACACTCTTTTATAACAAAAGTTTTAAAAAATCCAAAACAAAAAAATGATATGAATGATTATTCTTATAATAATAATAATAATAATAATAATAATAATAATAGTAATAGTAATGGTAATGGTATTTATAATAACTATTCTTGTAATAAAAATGTCAATAAGGATTTTATTTGTTGTTGTGAAAAATGTTTCACTTATTGGTATTTTTTTCCTGAATTAGTACCTCATGAATTCATAATTCGATTAATAAATTTAACTTTAAATATTAAGAGCGCAGATTCTTTAAAATTTTGGAAAAATATACTAATTCCTCATTGCGTAAAAAAGTTTCACATTAATTTAATAGATCATATAAATATAAAAGAAATTGAAATATATGGATTATTTTTATGTATAGAATATCATTTTGGTATATGTTTTAAAAGAGAATGTAAAAAAAATTATAAAGTTAAATTGCCTCTAACTTTGGATGATATGTCAAGTTTTCATTCAAGAAAGGATTATCATTTATTTCCTAATGTAGGTAAATTAAAAAGAATTTTTAAATCAAATATTAATCAAAAAGAAAAAGAAGGAGGACAAAATTATGATAAAAAAGAACACATAAATAATTATAATAAAAGTGTAAAATATGAAAATATGCATAGTAAAAGCAAATATAACAAGAACCATTCATTCGATTATTTAAATGAGGAAAAATATATCAATAAGAAAAATAAAGCGTTAGACAAATTTGATATTGATAACACAGTAAACCATATAAATAACAATGGAGGAAAAATAAAAAACTTAGATATAACAATTAATTCATTAGGTAATTTAGAAAAAAAATTAGAAACTAAAAACGTATATTCTCTATTAGAAAAAATAAAAGATGAAAGTATTTCTTCTCATGAAAATTCACAAAATACAGTAACAGACAATGTAAAGAATAAAGATAATTGTGTATATCAAAGTTATCAAAAATATGACAAATGTAATAAAAGATATTATGAAAAAACAAGTTTTGTTTTATTTTATCCTAAAAGCAAAATATGTTTCCCTAAATACTCTACCTGGTCATATAAAACTATAGAAAAGTTATTTTCGAACATCATAATTCAAGAAAAATTTAAAATAAAAACTATTTTAAAAGAAAATATCATAAACATAATTGATACGAAAAAAAATGATTTTTTAAATAAAAATAATATTTGTACTGTTGGTTCATGTAGTAAAATAAAAAGTTCTATTTATGAGTATAATATTCCTTGTCATCCTTACTGCATATTAAATGAGAAAATGACATGCATAAATTATTATAGAGCTAAACAATCGATCTTATTATTATTAAATATTAATATTAATAAAAATGTATTTGAAATAACAAAAAATTTTCTTTATCTAGCATACTTACATTTTGAACATGGTTATATAAAAAAATGTTTAAAAGTATGTTATTATATTTATAATACTATTCCTAATATAGGGGCTCTAAGAAGAGATATACTTATTTTAATTTTACAGTGTAAAGTTAAAGAAGAAAAAATAGAAGATGCATTAATAATTTATAAGCTTATTGTTATATTTAGCAAATTTTATGATGGAGAATATAATATAAGCACTGTACTGTGTAATATATTATTAGCTAATTATTACTATGATAAAGCAAATAATATAAAAAATCAGCATGGTAATAATAAAATGAAAGAAGAAAATCTAAATAATAGTTATCATATAGAGGGATTTAATGATATAGAACATAAAGATAATAAGGTAGTTACTTATGAATCTGAAGAAAAAAAAGGAGAAATGGAGAAGGAAACATTAAATATTATTGATAATTTCCATTTGAAAAGAAAATATTTATTAAAGGCATTATATTATTCTAAAGAGTGTTATAAAATTATTTCTACTTCTTTGAATGATATTATTTCCCATTGGATATATATATCTTCCTTAATATTACTAGGAAATATTTTAGTATCTTTAAATCAGTTTCAAAAAGCAATATTATTTTACAGTTTATCATTACAATATTCCATAAAAGGAAAAATGCCTAATTTTATTATTTTACAAAATAAATGTTTGTTAGCTGATTCATTAAAAAATAATGGAAATTTTGAAAAAGCAATTGAAATAGCTGAAGAATGTTTGAATTCTTTAGATAATTCAATTAGTTCTTCACATAATTTAACTTTATATGTAATTTTTAGATTAGCTCAAATGAAGCAATACATGGGTTGCAAAGATTTAATTTATCCTAATATATTTTTAAATAAGTCTCCAAATGCTTATATTAAAAAAAAAATTTCTCCATCTGATTTTATTATATTCGAACAAAAATATTTAAATGAAACAAGTGCAAAATATAGAAAAGAAGCTATTGATTTATATATTAAACTATATTATAGATTAAAAAATAAAAAAAATTACAACTTAGTATTTGGTAAAGATATATTTGGGAATTTTTATACTAAAGATGATTTATCAAGTACAGAAGATAATAAAAATGGTTTAGAAGAGGATACAGAAAGAATTACAGTAGTTATAAGAGAAATATTCAAAATAAAAGTTGTTTCTCTAAGTTCCAATAAGCAACTTATGTTAGCATCAAAATTACTAGCGATAGTTTTATCGAAAAATTCTTCTTCTTTTGTTAAAGAATTAACATTAAATAAACAAGGGATATATAAAGATGATTTATTCAATCATATCCATAAGATAGATAACATAAATGAGAAATTAGAAGAAGATGGTACTATTTATAATACAAATAATCAAGTAAATTATATAAATGAAATATATAATAATGATTACATGTATGATAAAAAAAATGTAGATAGTATGTTAAATTTGCAACTTAGTGATTTTTATTTAAACAAACAAAAAAATTTCTTTGATAGAAGTTGCTATACAAAAGAATATGATTTAATATCTATTGAAAAAATTATATATGATGATACTTATTTTAGCATAGAAGATATATGCAAATATTGCCATTTAAATTGTAATAACTATAATAAACAAAACTTAAATGAATATAATTTTAATTCATTACTAAATCCTCATAAATGGTTTGATATGTTATTTTATAATGTAATGAAAGGCACTTGTGATCATTTGCAAATACTTATATTAATAGATTTAATTAGAACTTTTCTAACACCTTTACAAAAACAACTTATTTTATTTCATGCAAAATCAATAAATAATGTTAAAGATAATGAGAGATTCTCTGAATATATGCAATATTTACTAAATAATGAAGAAAACAATATTTTACATTTAACGAACTTTATAAATCACAAGAAGAATTTTTTTGTTGGTGATAATTTACCAAAAGAGTTTTCAAATATTCATAAGAAAGATGTAAAAAAAAATATCCATTTTTTATCTAATATGACTGTAACTAATCCAAATTTGTTAACATGTCCTAATGAGTTCACAAATTTAGAATAAATTTCGTATTTTATTTAATGATACTATTTTATAAATAATATAATAAAATTAAACAAAATAATACGCAACAATAAAAAATGATATTAACATAAATAAAAATAATATATATATTTTAAAAAATTGAGAATATAAAAATATTAATAAATAATATTTTTATATATAGCATATTAACATAAACATATTTTTTATTAAATTTAAAAATAAACTTCTCAGGTAATAATTATAATTTTTTTTTAGTATTTTTTTTTTTTTTTTTTATATTTTTATGTTTCTAGTTGCATTTGTTATTCTGATCTAAGAAATATGCAATTTACGTTTTATACTTACAATGTTTATTTAATATAATTATTAAAAATAAAAAGATAAATAATTTAAAGTGTACTTGATTATTTATTTTTTTTTTTTTTTTTATCTATTAAAAAATTAAATATTATATATTATAATATTTTTATAAAAACTAACTTAAAAAAGTAATTAATCTTTATGCAAAAATGTGCATAAATAAAACAAAACCTAGATCAGTTGGCATATGTTTTTTAATTAAATAATTAAAAAAATTTTTTTATTTATTTACATTTCTTTTTCTTTTATTATTTTGTTAGAAATTCGTTGGAAATGAAAATATATGAACATAATTATAAAGATTTATTTTTAAACAATTCTATTGTTATTAGTAATAAGAAATGGCCTATAAAGATTGTTGAAGTTTTTATTATTAGTATTTAAGAATACGAAAGAATTTTATTTTATAAATAATTAATTTAGAAAAAAATAGATGATTGAAAACAATATCAACACAATTAATTTTTGTAATAAGTTATTACAATTAATTATTAAGAAAAAAATATAATAAAAATATTAAAAATAAAAAAATTAAAGTATAATACAAATATAATCCTAAAATTTTTGATAGCAAGTATCAAAATACTAATATATACTAATTATAAACGAAATATTTACATATATGTATAATAAATATGAAATAAATAATTTCAATTAGAGTAAAAAAATATTTTTTGCAATGAATATAAAAATGATATAGGTCTATTATTATATATATAATGGAAATAGAAAAAATATATAATAAATAAATATTTAAAAATGTCGGTGAATAAAAAAAAGACAAATAATGAAGATAGTTTAACATTTCTAAATGTGTATTCTGATGTTCTTTTTAAATATACCGAAGAGAACAAAAAAAAAAATGAATTATCTGAAACATTCTTATTAAGAGAAAAAATACGAGACGGAAAAAGATTAATAAAAATAAATATTGACATCATTTTAATTATAGTTTTGTTTTTTGTTCTTTGTTCTTCTACAAACGTAATTAAAATTAAAAAATTTCAAAACTATATTTATAATAACCTGAATGAATCAAAAGCATATTCCGAATCTTTTTATAAATCACTAAGTGATGACATAAAAAAAATAAATGATGATTTTTCTTATGAACCTAGAAAAAAAGATTATACAATCTTTAAAAATATAAGTAATAAATTTGAATTATCTTCATGGATAAAAAATACATTTGTTGAAAAAGTTTCTAAAGAGAAATTTTTAAATAATAATATTTTGTTTGGTAAATGTTGGAGAATATCAATGAGATTATATAAAAAGAAAGAAAATATATCAGATAATATTTACAAAGATAAAAAATTATATGAACTTTATCCTGATAATTCATTCTCCTATGATTTAGAAAATGCACAAAATCTTACTTCTCTTTATTTTGATGTAAGGTGGAGATATAATTTTTCTAAGGATTTATCATATAAAAAAATAGGAGGACTATATCAAATAATATGTGAGAGTGATCATAATAAAATTCAAGAAAAGCTTACTCAAGGAAGCTTTTATACACAAAATTATCCTTACTTTGTACCAGCTGTTATATTAACTAATTATAATATAGCTTCTGTTACTGTAGATTTTTTATTATTTAATCCTTTATTAAATATAATTTCCTATAATGTTTTAAAATTTTCTTTTTTACCTAATGCCAAAACATATAAAGAAATAGTTACTTTATCAGCTATATATAACAAATTAAATATATATTTTCTTATTTCATTACCTGTATTTATTATATTATTTATTACCTATATTACAATAAATGTTAAAAAAATGACACTGGTTGGTTTCAAATTGTATATTAAATCATATTATACTAAATTTTTTCTCATAGGTAATTAATTAAAAGAAATTATATATTTTGTTTTTATCATTACATATAAATATAATAAATATATGTACTTTTAATTATGTAATTTAAAAATATTATCATGTAATATTTATTTTTCCCTTTTTATTTTTCTATAATTTTTTTTTTTTAGTTTCTATTATTATTAATTTCATAACATTAACCATATATCTTCTATCTCATTCTAGATTGCCTAATTTAAATTTAGAATACAAAAATGGAAAATATACAATAAATTCTTTATATTCTCAAATTAAAGAAGATAAAATTGCATATTTTCTACATGAGATGTACATAACAATTTCAAATATAGAGTTAATAAAAAATATATTTATTTGTACAACAGCAATAACTTTTGCCTTATCTTGTATTGTTTTCTTAAAGCATTTTGGTCTTCTAGTGAAAAAATATAGTAATGTTGAAAAAAATATAAAAGAAGATTTCTTGTATCCTTTTTTTATTATTTTAATAATTATATTCGGATGTTTAGCTATTTTTTCTGTATTTTGTCATAAGCTTTTTGATATCTCAGAAAATATTAGTTTTAGTAAGATACATATTTTTATTTTTAATATATGTATAATTTTTGCAAATTTTCAAGGTTTCAATATTTCTTCTATTGTAAGTGAAGAAAACATTTTATCTTACTTTTATGCAATTCCTATTCTTTTTTTTATTGTTACTATAAGTTTTTCTTTCATTTTTTTTTTAGCAATAAAATCTTTCATTAAAAGAAATAAAAAAATATATAAATCATTTATATATCAATATAGTAAGTTATTAAGAGAGAACAAAAATAAAAAAAATAAGGAAAAAAAAAATGGAATATTTTTTGATAAATTTTTACGTGATGTAAATTATGATTATAATTTAGATGAAAATGAGAACATTAAAAATGAAAAAAAAAAAAAAGAAAATGTAGAAAGAGAAGATAAAACAAATAAACTTAATAATGAAAAAAATAGCACATATATAAATGAAGGCTCTGATGAAGATATAGAAAACGAAAATCATTTAAAAAATAAAAATGAATATTTAAGTGACAAAAATAATAAAGATTCAGAAGATATATATGAGAATTCAAATGATGATAGTAATGAAAATTTAAGGGAAAATAGTAAATACTCATCAGAAAGTTCCAGTGGTTGCGAAATTAACATTGATGAGGTAAATGAAAATTTAAATGTAAAAGATTTAGTAAATGTGAGAAATAGCTCAAAAAATGATAAATCTATATATTATGAAAAAAATAATAAAAAAAAAAATCTTTTCAATATAGAAAAAATTTTAGACTATTTTTTTAATATGAATAGAAGCTTTTTGCCTTTTTCTTATAAAGAAAAAAAGTATATTTTAAAAAATTATAAGAGTAAAACATCTAGTGGTAGACTAATTTTTTATATATATTTATATACTTTTTTGTTGTTATTTGTTATGTTATTTATTGTTAATGATTATAAAAAAATTAATGAAAGTGAAAAACTACTAAAATATCAGATAGAAAATATAGGCTATTTACCAAACGATGATTTATTTATTAATATGCAATTCTATCACATAGAGAAAAATATTAATGTAAATATTAAAAAAAAGGAATTTAATTTTAATCAAATAGAACATAAAGATGATGTTATACAGTGGCTTAAAACTTGTTTTATTTCTTTTTTACAAAATCGTTCTAGTACATATGGAAATGATGCAAAATTTCATAGTACATATATGTGGAAGGAAATATTTAATTTTAAGTATCATCAAGGAATAAATATAAAAATAACATCTAGAGAACAAATTAAAATTCCAAATACTAAATTTATTTGTGACGTTAAACTAAAAAATTGCGAAATATATATAGAAAATGAAAAAGCTAAATTGGTTAATACTATAAATGATATAGCATTAATTATTAATGATTCCATTCAAAAAATTGAAATTTCCTTTATTTTATCTGATAAGATTAACGATTATAGTATTCTAGTTAACATACATTTTATTTTTATTTCTAGTGGATATATATCAAAAAATATATTTTTTGGTCATCTATTTTTTAATTCTTTTAATATTTTTTATTTTAAAGGTGTTGCAATTAATATTTTATTTTTCACAATGCTCTTAGGTTTATTTATTGTTATCTACTTATTTTTATTTAAAAATTTTGTGAGCTTTTATAAAGTATGTTCTTTTGTTGCAAATGGATGTGATAATAATACAGCCTCTAAAATTGAAAAAGTGAATAATTTAAATAATGATAATAAAGAAATTGAAAATTTAGACAAACATGTTAATTTAAACAGCAATAATTATAATTATGGTAATTATAATTATGGTAATTATAATTATGGTGATTATAATTATGGTGATTATAATAATGGTAATTATAATAATGGTAATTATAATAATGGTAATTATAATAATGGTAATTATAATTATGGTAATTATAATTATGGTAATTATAATTTTTATGACAATTATAACAACGATGATATTAACATTAACAATGTTAACAAAAAAGTAACTAAAATAGGCTCAAACTTTAAATTAAAAATTTATCTAACATATATTCTTGAAAATAATATTTTAAATTTTATCATTTTTCCTTTACATATTCTAATTATTGCATTTTGGCTAGTTTTATCTATAGATATTAATTGGATTATAAATAACACTAATAAAAAAAATAATCATTTTAATGTCCATTTAAATTTATTTTCATATATTTCATATTTTATAAATATTTTTTACTTATTTATTTTTTTAGCCATAATAAATAAGTTTATTTTCCTTTCTAATTACTTTAAAAAGGAAATATTATATGAAGCATTACATTCTAATAAAAAACAAATAATTAAAAGTACCGCTTTATTAATATTTTTTTACTTAATTTTTACTATATTTAATTTTTTTTTTTATGGTATTGATGATTTTAATGACTTATCTCCACGACAATATTTTATTTATTCTATTTTAATTTTATTAGGCTTAGTTAATATAGAAATTTATTTAAAATGTAATATTTTCTATTTTTTATTAATTATCTTACCATATTTAGTTTTAATACGCTTTCTTTTTATTTATGCATTTTTTGCTCCTATTTTTGCTACTTATATTATTTTGTTAAGGAAAAAAAAAAAAAAGAAAAAAAAAAAAGTATATGATAAAAAAACAGATGATAATTCCTCTTTTACATTAACACAATTAAGTAATGAGCAATGGAGTAATTTAAATGAAGATATAAAGCAATTTGCTAGAATGGAAACTTATAATATGTTGCAATTTTTTGAAAAATTAAACCATGAATTAAAAAATAATGTAGATTTTTCTGTAATACTAAGGAATACAAGTGAAAAATTAAATGAAAAATTCTACACATTTCAATTGGAATTACGCAAAATAGAATTACAATGGAAGTTCAGAAGTAAACTATTAAGTTCATCTATGGCATATTTAGAAAAACTAAATAATCAAATAAGTATGCAGGAAGAAATTATTATTGAAAATAAAAATAGGATATTATCTTTAAAACAATACTTAAAACAAATTAAACCGGATTCATGAATAAAAAAAAAAAAAAAATATATATAAATTAGCTCATTTATCAAAATAATATTACAATTTTATAAATAAGAATACTTCTAAAAAAAAAAAAAATGACTTAATATATTTTAATAATTTTTTATTTTTAATAAATATAACAAAAATGTAAAAATAATAAAAACAAATATAACAATTCAAATTATTGTAGCTTTACAAAAAGTATTCAATTATAAAAGTTCCTTGGGTTTTTTTTTTTATAAGCAATAAACAATTTTACTTTTTATTTGAATATAATCTATTGTATATTTCGTTTTTAATTTTTTAATTACGATGAAAGTTTTATTCCTTTTTCGTGTATTCAAAATGTAAATGAATTTTTATATGCATTAATTTTTTGTATTTATTTAAATGTATGTAAATACGTGTTTTTACACCCGTTAAATACAAAATATGAACATTGTTTAAAAATGAAAAAAAAAAAAAAAATAAATAAATAAATATAAAACAATGTAAAAAAAAAAATAATATTTAATCATAATTCATCATGAATAAAATAAATCTTTATTTTATTTTTATAAATTTTTTGTATGTTAGTTTTTCATTTTTGTTTTAATGCTGCAATTAAATAACATACATTTTTTTTTTAATTTTCATTGAAAAAGTTTAAAAAATTAATATGTATGTATTTATATAAGTATATTTTTATGGAAAATTATATAATTGAATTTTTTTTTTTGTTAAAATTTTTTATATTTAATTTTAGTAGAACTAAAAAATATTACTTTTATAAATACATAATTTTTTTATTTTATTTAAAAAATCTTTTGTATGCAAAAAAATGGGAAAATAATAAAAAAGGAAATTTTCTTTTTCTTAGAAATATTAATGTTAAAAAAGAAAAAATTTTATTGAAGAATGATAGAAATGTTAATAATATATCTCTCTTAAAAGAAAGGTATAGAAAAGGAAATAAGAATATTGTGTTTATTGAAAAGGGAGTAAATGATGAAAATAAAATATATTATGTAAAAGATTGTCTTAATAAAAATGTAAAAGAAATAAAATATATAAGTGATCTTCAGAAAAGTTTTATCTACTTAATAGAAAGAAACAATAATATGTTATTACATGCGAAAACATCTAGTGGAAAAACTACTATTTGCTTATTTTATTTTATTTTAAAATTTTATTATAATTGTGAGTTCATATTTTATGAAGATATAGAAAGAGAGAAATATATGAATAACGAATATTTTGAAGACAGTCTATATGGTATAAATAATTATAAAAAACCTTTTCCAAAAAATAAACTAATGCATATACCTTATAGTGAAAGGTATTCAGAAATTTCTGACATTAAAGAAAATAAAGATATACTGATGGAAAAAAAATCAAATATTAAATTAAAAAATGAAAAAATTCTTATATTATGCTCTTCAAAAGAATTATGTGTTCAAATTTCACAAAACATATTATCTTTTATAAATAATAAAAATTCGAATATAATTAAATTATTTATTGATAAGCAATGTGAATATAACAAAGAAGGAAAAGATATAAAAAAAGAAAAGGAAAAGAATGAAGAAGAAAATTATAACTTTAAAGTTGAAAGTACTGAACATAATCAAATTTCTAATCCTTTAAAAAAAATGAACAAAAATATAAATAGTGAAAATAATGAAAAAGGGACAAATAAAAGGAAAATAAATGAAAATAGTAGATCAGATATAAATAATAATTTAAAAATAAATAAGGAATTAATTATAAATAATATGTTAAAAGAAAAGAATGAGTTAAAAAATGTTCTTTTTCTTATAGGAACACCCATTTGTTTTAAAAATTACCTTTTAAATTTAGAAAAGGAAAATTTAAAAGAGTTTTTAAAAAGCATTAAATATATTTTTTTTGATGAGATAGATAAACTCTTTCCATCATTAAAAAAACACAATCTTATAAGATCAAAAGATAATATAAAAAAAAAAACTGCTTATTTAATATTAGAGACGATAATGTATATTAATAAAAAAAATTTAATTTTTATTGGATGTTCTAGTACTTTAAATAGAGAATTACACAGGAAGATATTTAAGTTATTATCTTTGAATAGAAATAATTCAAAAAAAAAAATTTTCTTATTAAGAGAAAAAAACAATTTATTAAAAACAGAAAATAACCGAGATAATAACCCAATTAAAATTAATTCATTTAACTTCGATGAAAAAACAAAAAATAAATTAAATGAAAATGATGAAAAATATACGAAGAAAGAAAATACTTTAGAAAATAATCAGATCAATGAAATAGGAGAATCTGATTCGAATGCATTTGATTTTAATAATTACATAAATAATGAAAACGTATTTCAGAAATATGTGATAAAGGTAAGAATTCCCAACAGTATTTATCATTTTTATTATGTGATAAATAATGAATTATTTGAAAATAGAATAAAAGAAACTTACAAAATAATAGAACACTTTTCTCAACAAAAAATTTTAATTTTAATTAAAAATGGATATTCTTTAATGAAAATGAAACAAATTTTGGAGGAAAAAAATATATTTTGCATTTTATTACATGAAAAATTACAAATATCTTTAAAAGAAAATAATAAACATCTAAACAAACTATGTAGTAATTATGAAGAAATAAAAAATATAAAAGAAATTTCTACGAATGAAAAAAAAGAATTCATAAATAAGTTTCCTGTTATTATAAGTTCTTTTGATTCAATTCGTGGTTTTCATATAAATAATTTAGATATAGTTCTTTTATGTAATAAACCGAAAAATATAAATGAGTATATTCATTTGTGTGGGAGAGTAGGAAGAAGAAATAAAATTGGATATTCAATCATGTTAGAAAATGAAAAAAATATAAATATTGTCAAAAAATGGTTAGTCAATATAGAAGTGAATTTTAATAATTTAATTTTAAATAATAGTTCCGTAAAACAAGAAAAAGTTGTTGATGAAGAGAAAACAAGGAATAAAAACGATTTAAATTATCTTGTATCGAATGTGTTAGAAGAATTAAAAGAAGATATATGATATTACAATATAAAAAAAAAAAAAAAAAAAAAGTAAATAAGAATATTACTTTATATTTTCTTTTCCTATATAATATATTTTTAAAGTTTTAAAAAAAAATGAAAAATTTTTATCACTCTTTTTTAAATTATATAATATATCCTTATAATTCATAAATATTAAAAATATTTTGTTCTTCATATTATATTCAATGTAATATATCATTGAACCTTTTGTTTAATAATAAGAGGAAAAAAAAAAAAAAAAAAAAAAATTAAGATAATTTTGTATAATTTACAAAAAAGGAATAAGGGAAATTTAAAAAAGTTGAGTTGGAGGAAAAAAAAAAAAAAAATATGGAAAATGTAAAAATTTGAACAAAAGAAAATTAAAAATATTCAGATATAGCAATTTTGATGTTTTCAATTTTCATTTTCATTTTTTGAAGAAATGTTTCTTTTTGTGAATTTTTTTTTATTATTTTCACTACATCTATCTCGTAAATGAGTGGCTAAAAATTAAAAAAAAAATGTTAAAATTAAAACAAACTAGGATCAAGCAAAAAATTTTAAAGATACTTTTACATATACTTTTATTTATTTTATTTTTATTTTTTTTTTTTTTAAAGTACTTGGTTAGGAAAATGATAAGGATATGCTAAATGAGGTGGAATAATACATTGTCTTCTTGTATTTTTTTTCATACCAATAACAATTTCATAAATAGCTCTTATATGTTTTTGATCATAGAATCCAGCTGTTATTTTAACTGGAAATATGCTTTTAAATGTTGATTCAATTATTCTAAAGTCATTTGTTGTTTTTCCTTGATAATGAATATAAACAATATCTCCTTTTTCAACAGTAATATCTTCTCCATCAATTATATCTTTATATAGTATTCCACTTAATAAAATGAAATTTCAAATATATATATATATATCTTTTAAAAAACATATGAAGTCATATTTACATTTATTTTCTTTTAACCTTTATATTTTTACTTTATATATATATATATATATATATTTATATTTTTCTTTTATACCTTTCTGTTTTTAAATAAGGGGTATCAGACCTATATTTTTTTTCTAAATAAGTACTTCGTTTTTCTTCTAAATGAAAAATGTTGATATTTTTTGAGAATAGTAGTTTCTTTATAAAATAGGAATTTAGAGATATAAAAAAAAACTTATGAAAGCCATTAAAAATATTTTTTTTGTTTCTAAAATAGAATTTCAATAATGAAATTTTTTTTTTTTCATACAATTTAAAAAAGATATATCCAATGAAATTTACCATTTTCACTTAATTATGTCATGTTGCATATTCAATTTGTTTTTAATTTTTTCTTAAAAGGAAAAAAAAAAATTAAAAATGAAAAATATATTTTTTTAAAGTAATAAACATAATATTATTAATAAAAACATAAATAAAATAATAACGTTTAAAAAAAAAAAAAAAAAAAAAAAAAAAAAAAATTTAAAAAAAAAAAAAAAAAAAAAAAAAAAAAAAAAA